TTGCAATCGGGTCAAATTTCCGACATGCGGTTTTCGACGGATCTATACGTTTCACAGCCCCTGAGTCCGAAAAACACATTTTTAGCCTTTGATCTGTCTGTCTGTCTGTGCCAAGATTTTCTCGGAAACTACTGAACCGATTTTGTTGCTTCTTTTTTTATTTTGTAGGATTTTGACTACTGATGCCTGTAACAGAAATTCGTTGCTCCATGCGCGATAGCTTGCTCGCAATAAATGAAAATCATATTTTTTTTATAGACTGTAGCGCAAAAACGGCTCTGACGATTTTGATGAAACTTTTCTATGATGTTCTAATCATCGTCCTTTCAATTTTCGTATATTGACTAAATTCCCGAAAAAAAAGTTATAAAGAAAAGAAAAATGTTATGGGGCCCAACTCCCTAAGTATATATTATACGGTAAAACTTATAATAAAACTTTTGAAAGGTATTTATATTACCAAAAAAACCATATAAAAATCGTTCATTTTGGACAACTTACAGCGAACAACGAAGTTACAGCTATTCAATTTCCAATGAAAGATTAGGAGTTCATTTCCTGGTGTCAGAAAGGGGTTAATAAGAGAATAAAGATGACTAAGTGAAAGTAAGAAAATCTGCCCGCATCACACAATCTTCACTACTTTTAACAGAAATTATTGTTTGACAATACTAAGATATGGCTTGGATCAAAAAGTTTTTGATCAGCAATATTAATGAGTATTGAAATTTTTACACTGATCTACCTTAAGTCGGTTTCATTGCTTTAGTTTAATAAATAAATCGTACTCAAATCTTTTGTTTAATCAATTTTCAGGAAAATAAATTTAGTTCAATTCTCAATAAAAACTTTTCTGAAATAGGTAGAAAAGTCGTGTGAGTGGACACACCAGATTTTTTTAAAAATTAACTTTCATTTACTTGATTTCTGATAAATTACCATGAAAATGAGAAATGATTTCTCCATCTTATGATTAGTTGCATTATTTTATTTTGTCATTGACTGTACAAATTATTGGCACGGGCCAACTTTTTATGTATTATATAATTATTTATATAATAATATTCTTATTACAAGTCCCATAGAAAAATAAGAAGGCGAGAGAAGATTTGGTAGTTTTAGATTGGAAGGATTGGATAGCCGAGTGGAATAGTGCCATGTAACGCGGTGAGACCAATCGAACATTCATCTGTCCTCTCGCCACTTAGGCCCTCTTTCCTCTCTATCGATAGTTCTCGATTCATCCGATTGCTAGAATCGATTTCTCAAGAGCCGCTTCCACGATATGAGGCCTATAACTGTGCAAGCATTGAGTGCTCCTTTGAAAGGAACCAATTTATTTTTCTACAATCGTAGCTAAACGCTTAAATCCTTTGGTATAGCAGCCATTTAGTTCTACTTGATTCACAGAGCACAATCGAATTAATTTAATTTATTTATGTTAATATTTTTATCACGGTTTGAAATAAATAATTATTTTTTCCACAAAATCATGTAATAATTATTATATTTTAATTTGACCTGCAGACAAGGTTAGGGAGATGAAATAAAATAGAAAATCTGTGTAAAAGTAAAACATATCTGAGTTTTATTAACTTTATTTTATTTTATATTTATTTTATTTTATATTTGTTTTATTTTATATTTATTTTATTTTATTGTATTTATTTTTATTTTATTTTATTGTATTTATTATTATTAAGTTTCTGTATTATTTATTTATTTTTTTATTGTAAATAGAGTGTGAGTGTGCTTTCTCTGATCACTATTATAAATGTCCTTGATGTGACAGAATGTAATATTTCTAAATAAACAAATATATAAAAAAAAAAAATATTAACTTGGTACCTCATTTTTTAATTTTGTAATTTTTTTTTTTTGTAACTTATTTATTGAAAAATATTACAATCTGTCTCAAGGACATTTATAATAGTGTCCAGAGATCACATTCAAACTCTATGTACAATAAATTTTGCAAATTAATAACTTGATTTTGCGAATTTCAGTACTTTATGTTTCCATAGTTTACGGAAACATAAAGTACAAAAAATCGCCAAATCATGTTATTAATTTACAAAATTTATTGTAAATTAATAACTTGATTTTACGAATTTTTGTACTTTATGTTTCCATAGTTTATTACAACATGATCAAATAGTTTATTGAAAAATGAAAGTAGTTGAGTAGATTTATGCTGTAAACTCCATAAATAAAAATGTTAAAAGAATACTTAATAAGCTTACATTAAAAAATATATATATTAACAAAAATTGTAAAAAACATAATAATTAAGGATTTTTTTCATAATTTTAAAGCAATGCCCATTTAGTAATTTGATTAATTGCTAAAGTTGTTATCATCTCTAAGAAATAATAATTATAAATATATTTTTATTTTATATCTTTAAATTAATTTAGTGTTTTACAAGGTAACATATAATTAAAATAAACTTGAAATAAGTTTTAATATATTTAATAAAATTTACAATTATTTATATGAAATAAATGAGCGAAATCAACATGACCGAAAACAACGCTAATAAGTTGTTATCATGAGAACCGCTTCGAAGATTTCTATCTCACACGAAATAATTAAAACCTGGTCTAACTTCTTGAAAGCATATGTTTAACTTATCACTGTAGTTGAACAAACTTACCATTAGCAGATTATAATTTTCATCATAATAATTCGGGAATTGTTAATTTAATGATTTATTTAAGTTTTATTTCAAGCAAACAAACAAAGGTAAATATGAAGGGAGATAAAAGCAAAAGTGTATTCGTAAATATATATATATATATATATATATATATATATATATATATATATATATATATATATATATATATTAACATTATATTGAACCTATGTAATGCAAACGATATATTGAAACATGTATAATTAAAAATCTTTGAAAGATGTCTATACAGACTGGTTATAATCAAGTGGTTGCGTGATCTGATATCAACTAATATTGAAACGATCACGAACTAAACATGTAGGTCTTGTTTTTAAGTGAAACATTCATCACACGACATCAACAGATTTGTTACAGATATATGAAACATTTAATTATTTTATTACGACAGACGTAATTAAAAATTAGAAAATCAATGTTACACATTAAAATATTACAAAGATATATATTAAATGTTTTAAGTTTAAAGTGTGACGGAAAAAGTCAATTATATCCAATAAACGATTACAATATAAGTTAAATATTTAAAAGCCCATGCCTTCTTAGGCATCTGAAAAAAATATGGCTTCCAATATAGAAATTTGATATGGATCTGGAATACTACGAAAGGTATGTTTCTTTGCGAATCTTTGTCATATCATTTCATTATATCTTATCTTAGTTTACATTTTTGTGATTATTTTTTATTATTTATGAAAACGAGTTGATCGGGAGTGTTGTGAGATTAAATACTATATATTATAATAATATTTTATAGGTTACGGCAACGTTTCTACCCACTTTTTAGGTCTTCATCAGGACTACAAAATTTCATTTGTTTCTTGTTTGTTTCGTTTCTTTTGTACCCCTGATGAACAGCTGCAAAGCGGGACGAATCGTTGGCGTAATCAATAAAATACTGGTATAATATGTAGTATTTATTTGACCGTATTATCTACATACCATTATTTTTTTTGTTGTTGTAAATTTTAATAAATAAATAATGGCAAATAATGAAGTTATGATTTTTAATTAAGAGTGCAAAAGTGGGTTAAGTTTACTTTAGGTATTTCTTGGTAACTCGAAAGTTGTTATACAAGAACTTTATAAATAATTAATTTAATAGTCAATAATAATTTTGAACATCTGTCAAATAACCAAGTCCAAAGAAATCCGTATTGGTGATTAATTTTTTTCTTTTCCAACTCATGTGGTTTGTCCAGATATTATAGATTTTAAATTTTTAATTTGTATGTAACATTTTTATATGAATTTTTTGTTGCTTTCAAAAATTATTTTTACCTGTCAACTTTATGTTGACAATCAACAAATGTGCTGAAAATACAATAAATAAAAACACGTCAGACATGGGGAAGGAAAATACTCAGCAATATCTCTTCTCTGACTTGTTTCAATTCCTTTGGGTTTTTTAAGAAAGGAGATATCTCATCCAACACTTTTTAGTCTCCTGCTCTCATTCAGGGGTGTATCAGCTGTGGCTATGACTCTTAGTAATCTGTTATTATATCCGATTAAATTTGTATAAAATCGTTTGTAAAGTGTTGGTCAACTATTGGAAGGTGGAGGTCAAAATGTAGAGTTTTGTTAGACACGCAACAAGGTGCTTTTGTTATCATTGGCAATAATTTTGATTAGAAGGTTTGAAATCTTGATGATGAGTATGAATGGGTTTAATTATGTATATATATATATATATGTATTCCGCCTCTGCCTTAGTTTCATTTTTCATTTTTACATGCCCCATGTCATCCTTCTGTCGAAGATAAGTCCAAGATGAAGTACTGTGTCAGTTTGTGAAATTTTGTTGTTGCCAATATAAACTGATGGAAAAAAGTACCTTTTTTATGTTTGGATTTGTTAGTATTATGTCGAATTTTCGTTATTTTGAACCAATCTTGTATTTTAAGCTAGTGAAGCCTGTGTAGGATCTTAATACAAATTGAAATCTTTGATGAAATTAGAATAAAATATTTTATATGTTTGCCTTATCCATTTATTTATCCTAAAGCGTTTCACTATGTTAATATATTCAATTTTTAGTCTAGTTTCAATCTCAATCAACATTTAATAAATTTCATTCAACATCAGTAAATTTTATTCTAATTAATGCATTAACCAAAATATATGCATATAATTTAAAAATATTCAAAATATGTCAAGAAAAACACAGGCTATGGGAGAGAAATAACGGTGCATTATGGGAGATCCGTTGAACAATGGCAGACTCCTACGAGTCATCTTCCACGGGAGGATGACGCGAAGACACAGACTATTGCTCCCGAAGGCCGGTAAAGCTTCCCCATTATCCTTCCAGTGACAGGGCCTTCGATATCGCATTCCCTCGCACAAGAAAGAGTTCACCGTGAAAAAGAGGTTGGCTCTTTATTAGATTTTCCCATTTCAATGTCTCTATGGCGACAAAGGAGAGTTGCCTATAGCCGTGGAGGCTTCCCACTGTGCCGGCCTGTGTAGCACTGCCTCTGTTGTCGCTGTATGCAAAGCGTGTCCTTCCAGTGACATACCTTAGTTGTTCCTGTTCCAAGGAACGTGTTACAAGAAAACAGTAAGGACAGAGAAACGGTATTCCATACCTCTTTTAAAATATAATTTACAAAAAGGTAATCTCTCTATTATATAAAAAAAATTTAATGACTTTCATATTTTATTTTATTTTATGAATTGTTGAAGGAAATTAGTCGACTGTTCTACATATCATGGGTGATAAATATTCAGGACGCAGTCTTTTTTTTTTAATTAATTTTTTATTTATGCCAATGTTTCAACCCAAATATGTGGGTCATCTTCAGGACGTGGTTTGAGCACTGAGGATGTTCAAGTACTCATTGTAGTTAGGTCACAATGATTTGATGAATTATTGAAGGAATTCAAATTTTCTAGTATTTTTTTTAACATGACAATTTTTATATCCTCACGTTGGCACATAGCGATATCGACTGTACAAGAAATGGTCATTTCGAAAATGTTGCTCATGGAGAAATTTAATTCCAAAGCTGGTATTATAGGGTGAGTAAGTTTTATTGTAATGTGATATAAATCTATATAAAATCATAGCTACAAAAAAAAAAAGCAAATGGCAACGAAATAACTGAGCAGAATACTTATTATAAGGACTTGAAATCGATAATAAAAAATTACCAAAAAATATGAAATCTGATCAAAATAATTTGATGATTTTTAATAAGAGCGACTTTTTGATTATATATATATATATATATATATATATATATATATATATATATATATATATATACATATATATATCGGGTACTGCGCGCACCCTTAAAATACTTACATATTATTATTTTATTTAATTTGTGTGTAAAAGGTGATTTTTATTTTCTGATCATTTTTTTTTTTATCACAATATAATGATTATCATTTATATAAAACTATATCACTCAGTGAGAGATCATTATTTTTAATCGAATAAATAAAAATCAAAGATCGATTTAATTTTTTGTTTATAAATTTTAAAATTAAAAATCAAATATAATAATTATTACATGATTTGTGAAAACAATAATTATCTATTTCAAATCCTGCTTATTATACCCCCTCTATAATTTTATTTTGGACAAAGACTCGTACTTGACCACAATAAAAAATTGGCCTTTTTGCTTAGATTAAATACATTGGTTTCAGGGTTTTAGTGATCTTGATCTTAATTTATTTCATTGTGTAAATCTAGTGAGAACACTGTCAATAAGTTCAAAACAACATCATCTAACAATACACAAATCAAACAGATGAGTGTTAATTTATTAGAAGAATACTGCATAAATTGTGCAGTCCCGTTTTACTAAGGACATAACCTTCGGTAATAAATTTACTCCTTTCACCTCTAAGTGGTATTTATAAAGGATGGAGTTAATGATCCAGGAGAGATGATTAAAGCCGAAGGATGTCGAACCTGATGCTACTAATGGCACCTTACTTTCAAGTCGCAATAAACCATCGAGTACATTAAAATTTAAGCAGATCCTAAATGCTCGAGGCACGATTTGAGTAGGACGGAGTTATAAAATGTCAGTTCTAGTGTATCTACCTTTTGAGATTTCTTCACACTAATTCAATTGTGTCAAGGATCATAGAAGTGTCCTGCGATTCTGATCCTTAAGAAGCATAGAAGTAGCAGACCATACAGGTATTCGCTCCTGGATGCAACTTTCTGCTAGGCTTTACGCAACTCTCCATAATTTTTATTTTTCAAAGAAAATCTTCGAATTTGTAATATATTTATGTAGGATAATTATTGAAAATATAGCAATTATATTTTACCGAGAATTTGCATATTTTTTATTTTATTTTATTTCTACCCTGTAAGGTCATTGGCAACACCTATTGCTTATAGAATTTTATATTCTTTAAAAAAATCAAGGTTTTTTCATTATTAATCAGGCTTTCTTTTAGCCTCTGAATCAAATCTAATTTTTTTTATTTATTTAATGAAATTTACAGCTGTATAAACAACACAACTAGTAAAAATGCAGACATTAGAAATAATGACATGAACAGACTTGAAGGGACACTGCCCAGTGGTAGCACTCCCTATTTAATTCTATGTGAGAAGATCACGAGGCCATCTTCTTTTTAGACGTCTAGGGGGATTATCAGGAATCGAGGAAGAAGCAAGGCTGGAAACAAGTGGATTTGGATGAGACTGGAGTTTATCATGAAAGGATAGATATCTGGCTCGGGCTAAATCAGCGGCATATGGAACATTAAGGTCTTTATGAATGGTTTTATTTGTGACAAAATATGGGGCATAAAGGATTTTACGAAAGATTTTGGACTGTAAGGATTGAATACGAAAGGAATTCGATGGTTTGGTAGAGCCCCGAAGCTCTATCTAATTTTTAAAGTGAAAACTTCAAATTGGAGTCCTAGGTATCGAAATCGATATACAGGGATAAGTGGAGTATTATTAAAGGATACTGTAGGACAGAAACTCATGGGTTTACGACGAAGGGTAAAGGTAATTTGATGTGATTTATTGGAATAATTTTAATCCTTCAGTTTTGACATCTCTCTTTAAGATTTATCCAAATACCAAGACCAAAGACCAAGACGAGTCTTGTTATTACATACTCAGTCTTGGTCTTGCGCAAGAGTTTTGCAGTTACCTTATTATTAGCACCTATTACCTTATTACTATAGAAATATTACTGTAATTTTTTAGATATGAGAAAATTAACTAAGCCCGAATGAAAAATTATAATAAATACAAAAATATATGGGTTATACCAATCGTTTACATACAGTAACTAAATTTGTCATGTATTAGCAACTATTTTGCCGTAATTTTTATTTAAAAGTCGATTTTTTTTACCAACCTAGGTCTTGGTCTTGCAGCAATTAGGCGGTGTCTTGGAAAATACAAGACCAAGACCAATTTCGGCCAACATTATTTGTGGTGTGTGATGGAAGAGTTAGGGTAGCAATTGATGGATCATTATATTATAACAGTTAATATGAAACACTGCATTATTTTTCAAACAACCCAATAATTGTGTACGGATATAATTATTTGTGTTTTTTTTCAAAATAAAACATTTATTTGCGCCTGATAGTAATGGCGCATGTTTTGCTTACCGAGTTAGGCCGGCATTGAGTATGAGGGATTTCGATGGTTGCACAAGAAGGGTTCCGCTTGGCTCGCAGCGGGTTTTATCCAATTTGTCCAACAATTTCCCGTAATTGGAGGAGCACATTATTGTGTGTGTTGGAGGTGGAAGGGATGGTCACAATTCGTGCAACGTTTCGAGGCCATGGCCAACACAATGGCAATTATGACTGTATCATGTAAAAGGGTCGCCCAATTATCATTGTTGTCATGGGAATCCGCCATAACTAATGGCTTTATACTTGGAAATATGGTAATCGTCCTCGTATCTCATTGGTTTGCTCATTCTCCTCATATCTGCGATTTAAAAATCATATCCATAGGTTTATAATAACGTTTGTTTAAATTGTTATTTATTCTTATTCTTATTGTTATAACTAAAAAAAAAATCGATCAAGTATATCTCAAAAACTAAACAATATACAATTAATTATACCCACTCTGAAAAGGAAGATTTCCAAAAAACCTACAAAAATATAACATGCGCATGCGATTGCGAAATCACTAAACCGAATTTCATAAACTTGATACATGGCCATACGTACACAAAATCTATATGTTCTTCCTTAGACACACGTTTCAAGCTTAAGATGTTTGTTTATATTAATTTTTTTCACTACACCCCAGATATGTTTCTTTCCTGACACGCTGCATCTACGCCAAATCCTTAGGGAAATGCGGTATTTGCGTAACAGGAGTTGAGAAAGAGCGGATGCTTCCATCATGTACCCTTACAGCGGCAAGAAGAGAAAGGTTATACAACCAGGGTGCCTTGTTCTCGGCATGCATCTTTGTGGATAAGGCTGTCATTTGTTCGTCAAATTGGAAAATTTCTCAACGATGATTATACATCTTCGTAAAGCTAAAAGAGGATTCTCGAATGAAAGTAAAATTATCTAGTGTAAAAATGTTATTATAGTAATTAAAATACTATGTTTTCTAAACGTCATTTATCCACTCACACCTGTCAGAAATACTGACAATTGGTGAGTATGCTAGAAGAATACTAGTATTAGCACTGATCGGCTTGAGAGAGTGCCCAGCGGCATCATTACCTATCTTGATTTTAGTATTCATATTTAAGCGAGGAGATCCCTCATTCGTTTTCATTTGAGCTTCCTAAGCGTGTTGTCGCGCATATTAATTGTGGCTATTGTATGAGTGAGTTAATAGATTCGTGTAAATTACCGTTAAATCGTTTTAGTTTGTTTGTATCTAAGTCATTTTGGTCTTCTGTGAAATGCATGATAGAATAAGCTTAAGTAGGTAAATCTATGTTCAGTTTCTGTTTTAGATTTAATTTTCGACATCTTGAAAATACTATTATTATACTATTATCATGTTATTATACTATTATCATATTATTATACTATTATTTATGTTTATACATCGTTGCCACCATGTTAAAGTATTGAAAGTGTAACGAACAATTATCTTCGTTAATTGTTCATCAAATAAAATAATTCAGACAATTATTATTTAAAAAATTGTTTCATTTCAGGAAATTCCGCAAAAAACAACAAAAAAAAAGCCGCCAACATGTTCTTACTGCGGATGTATCCTAACAGTGCTTCACATACTAATAGTGTATAGCTCACGACTCCAACAGATTTTCAACAGACCCAGAACAAATATTGAGACAGGACCCAGATACGACTTTACGACTTATACATTTTTAAAAACTATCGACATAAACAACAAAATTTAAAACAACTGCAAGTGACTAAAGAAACTTCAGTGTAAATGACCCCAGTGGTCAAAAAATTCAATCCTCAGAATATATATTTTTTTTAACTGACACGTGCTTCCATACCAAACTGTTGATCGTGAGTCAACTCGTGCTGTTTGCGTGGCCTGGTTCCAGATTCGATCCTCACACAGTGGATTAGTAAGTGTGGATCGCGTGGAGGCAGACTGTACAAACACCACGATCCTCGTAATTGGAATAACATACCGTTTAATAAGAAGAAATATTCAGTGTTTGATCAGTTCGTTCAACTTCAACTGCACTGTCTAGCTCGATCTTCAGGTGTAGAAGAGCAGTATTATAACATAAATTGTTGAAAATATACTATTATTTATGTTTATACATCGTCGCCACCATGTTAAAGTATTGAAAGTGTAACGAACAATTATCGTCGTTAATTGTTCATCAAATAAAATAATTCAGACAATTTGTGGACTATATCAGATGCGAACACTAGTCTTATCCCTCCGAAATTTCGGAATGATAAGACAAGTGTTCGCATCTGATATAGTCCACATATTGTCTGAATTATTTTATTTGATGAACAATTAACGACGATAATTGTTCGTTACACTTTCAATACTGAAAGTTCTGTTTAGTACTCGGAATAGTTGGCCATATCGTAGGTTTATTTCTTGTCTTTTACAAAGCCAAATTAAAATAAACGATATTGGACCATTATTAGTTAAGATACAGTTTATTGTAATTGGTAAACATGTTTTGTTTTATTATCATGAATGAAGTTTCAAATTAATTTTCTTTTCCTTGATCAATTACAAATTTCGGAGTACAAACAATTTATGATCTACTCAACTACAGAATCTGACAAGGAGACTAAAATTCGTAAGATAGTCAATATCAGAAGATGTTGAAATTTTCTCTAAGATTGCTTTTAAATCAATCTCATAGAGCAGATTTTCCAAAGATGAATAAAAATTTATATTTTTCGATTGTTTTTCGTATTGTTAGAGAATTATTATGGAAAATGATTTGTTTGATAAGACTATTAAGATGAATATATATATATATATATATATATATATATATATATATATATATATATATATATATATATATATATATATATATTTTTATCTGGGTACCTTAAGAAAACGATCGAACAAACCTCTGAATTGGAGGTTGTCAGCAATAGTCTCGTATAAAATTAATAGTAGAAAAAAAATTATTGTTTCGAACAAAAAGAAGAAAGAAAAATAATCCGAAAATAATATATCATATAAGCCAACTCGAGTCCAAGTAGCTTAATTATACATATAAAAAAAACATTCTTCGAGATATCGACTCGCCCATCTCGAAATCTACTGATGAAGTCGATCATATAAGCCTCCTTCGCACCCGATCTTTGGATAATATGTTAGCAAAGGCCAGATAAAAAAAACTAAGTGGAAAGTTGACATTATCAGCTGATAGTAGCCTAATAAATCGATATTAATACGACGATATCGAAGAGGCTGATCGGAATCGATTGTAAGGAGTTGCGCCTAGCAGCTAGTTTTTACATCCTTATCTTGGCCGAGTCCGTTCCTCTTTTTGCGTCCATTCCTGATTTACCGACTGACGCGGGAAGGTCGAGGTGTGAATGCAGAGGCGGTTTCGGTGTCGAACCTTTGGTCTAGAGATAACAGATTTCTACAAAAATAGTATATAATATATTAATTATAAATGGCTATAGCAGTATTACATCAGTAAATTATCTTAATTTAAGACTTTATATTTATTTTTAAAAGTTTTCCACTTGTCGATTCGGTTTACTTTTTAATACTTTTTTAAAAAGTTATATTTTAACAATTACTGTGGATCTGCTTTAAAAAATTTCATTTTAATAGCTACTGTGGAACATATTAAGCAAAAGGTTTTTAAAATGAAGTTCATGGCTTATGGTAAAAGTTTAACTTTTATTTATTTATGATACGTTAGATAAATTAAAGATTAAAGAACAGAGAAATAAACAGTAATTGGGATTCGAATACAGATATAATTATCTTGTATGAATCTCCTGATTCTCATATTAAAAATGCACTGCACGGTAGATATTTTTTTACATCGAATCTCTGACGAAATGAATTGCTTTAACAGAACTTTCAAACAAAGTTATGTTATAAGTCTACTTAAAAAATTGAAAAAGAAAAAATTTTAGTTCCAAAATAACAGGAACTATATAGTTAAACGGTTAACCCGTCAACATTTCGCAAATCCAGGTATCATCAGGACAGAATTCGTAATTTTTTTTTAGAAAAAAATGTGAATTATTTTAATGAACGTTAATTTTAATGTAATTATAATAAAGATTATTATTATGAATAACAAAATTAACTATATCAATTTTTGTCATGTACGACTAGAGCGGCCTAATGCTTTTCACATATTAAAATGTGATATGTATAATTTTTATTTATATATGTAAAAAATAACATACATATACCTTTTTTTAAACTATTGTCAGCAGTTTAATACCATAACACGATTATATCCGTTTAACTGTACAAAAATCACACTTGACAGACGTTCTCAGATCCATTGTCTTATATATATATTTATATTTTATTATATTTGGCGTGTAAACCTGTTTGTTTATTTATTCTTAGTTCTATATACTTCCTATTTTGAGGGATAGGTACTTGTTAGTGAAATCTTTATCATTAAATTAAATATTTATGTATTGTATATCATAAGTATTCTGTAGTCATCTTTAGATCGGTCTTTTTAGACATTATAATAACAGATTACACAATAAGACACAAAAACAGATTTGTCGAACAAAAAGAAAGAAAGAATAAATATTATATATATATATATAATAGAAGTTGAATATCACACCAAGTAATCATAACAGCTGTAGTAATATTTAACAGCTGATCGTTGGAAAAGAGCGAATAGAATATTAGGCATACAAAAAAAAAAGAATAATATAGTTAATGAAAAATGAGTTAAATGAATTGAATAGAAAAAATAAATAATAAAAAAAAAATCATAATATAATATGATCATTTAGTATTTCTAAATCTAGCGATTCGGGTTAAAAAAAAAAATATCAACTTTTTGAATAAACATTGATCTCAAACATATTGTATAGATGTCCTATCATATATAGAAATATGTACTATAGATGTCTTAGATAAAAAACTTGAGTTTCGATAGTCAATTTTCTAAATATTAGTTTTATTTTCATAATTTACTAGTATATAATAGTCCAATACTGTTATAATAGTGCTATTCGGTCATCATCAGGTCTGAAACGTTGGCAATAAAAATCTTAAGAACTTACTGCGTCTGGAATATCTATCACGATATGTAGAACAGTTGACAAACATCTTTAAAAAATGATGAGAGATTTTCAAAACAATGAAGTGATAAAATTTTAAGTGTATACGATAAGAAATCACATCCATAGTTTAAGCAGTTTATGAACGTAACTATCAAAAAAGTAACACATCATTTTTATTTTTAAAAATATCAGGACATTAAGTATCTGATAAGAAACTTTCTTGATGATAGCTAGTATCATAACTAACAGAGGATAATAAAAAAATTGAAAATACCACCTTAACCTCATTAAAATAATTGGAAGAGTTTGAACTTTATAATTGCGTTTAAAAAATGTAATTGCGAAACTTTTTTTTTCTTTCAGGTAAGAGGTATGAATGACTTTGCTACCAATAATTCAAGTTGGACCTCTCAAAAATGAAATTTAAATTCCACATTAATCTAGCAGATGCCCAATCCTACTTCATGGCAGTATAATGTAAATACGTGCCCTCCTATAATTATTAAGTTGTTTAGAATAATGGCTGGATGATTACATAAAAAAAAAAAAATTGCATATTTTGATCCAACCATTAAATTATTTTACATGATCCATGGATAAACACAGGAAATACGTAATTAACATTTCTCGTGATACAATTCAAACTAAAAAATAATTCCAATGTATCATTAAAATGTGTATATAGGTTTCCTGTTGCTACTGGGCATGTGTCAGCAACCATTGTCCATGCGCATTTACATACTTGTAACGCGCGTTTTCATGTCAGTGTTCGAGAATATATGATAATCATCAACATTAGCAATTCATATATATTTATTTTTTTAATTCGCTCAATTGTTGGGAAAGTATTTCAACGCGTTGAAGCCCTTATTACATTTTAAAAAAATAACTGCCTAAGTAGGAGGAGACGTTTCCAATGAGAATTCCAAAATTGTGTCATTTTAAATAAAATGAACCTTGGTTATCTTTACAATAACCAGATCAAAAATATTAGGCCAGAGAATCAAAACGTGAGTAATGTCGGTAAATTTGTTGTAGAAGTATTTATATTTAACTTTTATATGTGAGTGCAAGCATTTTAAATCAAAAAATGCTAACACGGGCTACCTCAAAGGAAATCTTGGCAACCAAAAATATTTTTAAATGAAGGAGATGATCCTGAGTGACGGTCATAAATAGACTAAATAGTGGCAAAACTATTTTATTAAAAGCCAACGTTTCGACCCAACTTTGTAGGTCTTCTTCAGGGAGGTGTATCCAACAAGGAATGTCACTCAAACTTGAGTTCTAATTGAAACTCCTAGCTGAATTTAGCCATCTCCTTCCTTTATAATGCAACAGTCAACTATTAAATATTCAAACATATTTTTAAGATACTTCTGAATATCTAAACGAAAACGTTATTTTTAAGAATTTGAAGAATGTTAAATTTCGGTTAATTAATTAATAATTTAATAACATTATGATCAAAAAGTAGTCGACCATTTGTCCTAATGTCCATCTAGTTTTCGAAATTCAACCATATCATTATTTAAAACTTATGAAAAACATATATATATTTTTTAACTCCATTGCTTCAGCCACACCTGTCAGAAGTACTGACAATCAGAGAGTCTGATGTCGGAAACAATACTGTTAATGGCTCGATCGGCGTGAGGGAGAGGACTGGCCAGTGGTATCCCTTTCTATCTTCATTTTAAACTATTTCAAAGCGAGGAAATCCCTCATCCAGCTCCTTTTGAGCTTCTTAAGTGTGTCTTTGGGCATGTCAACTGTAGCCATACTTTGTATAAGTGTGTTAGTATGTTCACGTAAGTTATCGTTAAATCTTTTGTAGAGTGTCTGTATGTGGTCGTTAACAGTTTGCATTCGAAGATCTTTATGTAAAGTAATGTTTGTGACGTACCATGGGGCTTTAATTATAGTCGTGAAGATTTTTGACTGAAAAGTTTGTAGTTTTGGTATGTGGATCGTTTTGACTGTCCCATAAATTTATTCGAATGTCAGTCCAAGATATTGTATTTTACTTGTTTGTAGAATTCTGGCATTGTCAAGATAAATAGGAAGGCAGGTTTCAGATCTAAGAGTAAAAGTAATGTATTGTGATTTGTCTTGGTTGAGTCAAATTTTCCAAAGTTTACACCAATCGTTTAGTTTTATTAAATGATGTTGACACTTTAAGATAAACTTATAAAAGAAAATCTAATAAAAAAAAAAAAATATACAATAAAAAGTCTTTAGTCATTCAACTTAATTTTGGAATTACCAACGCATTGTCAACCCGGCCATCTTGCTCTAAGTGATAATTATCGATTCAACGAATCGGATTCGCAAACAATTTATCTCTGTTTGCTCGTCGATAGATTTGCTAATCGATCTCGAATTGTTCTTTCGTCAAAGTTCAATTGTTTCGTCTATAAGTTATAAAGTAATCAACAATTATATCGTTTGCTAACATCTTTTCCAAATGGCCTTATTAAGAATTGTCTCGGTACTGTATCTATATAAATCTATATTGATGACAGATTTGCTGGATCTTCTTTGTTACAAGTTCGCTGAGGCTTGTTATGCGCCATGACACGAAATGATTTACTGATATTTCTCTATTGTAAAGAATAATTTATAGAAAAATAAGAGAAGAAATCGTTAATTTTTCAATGATAATATGTAGGAAATAGTTTTTAAAATAAAAATAATAAGTTCACGCCAAACGGCTCAATATTTTTGAAGGCCACCTTTTTTCTCGATTTTGTGTTCAGATTATCTTACAATTCAAGTAGAAAGCAAACTTTTTTAGCAACTATTTAACAGACAATGTTTAGCGATCTCGAAATTGAAAAGGTCCTAATTCCAAGAATTTTCGTAAATAAAATAGTAGTTAATAATTTGATAAAAAAACGAGTCTGTACCACGGACTGTTAGTTATGTTTTGTATATTAACTCCTTGTGGTTGTTTTTCAATAGTAATTTTTTTTTAATTATTTGTATTTTTATTTATTCATTTATATTACTTTGTCTAAAGCAGCCTTATTTCAATTTTTTTTTCAAATTTATTTCCTCTGTTTTCCAAATATTTAAGGTCATGATTAAAGATAAACTGTTATTATATTAATCGTACACTCATCTAATATATGCTACGCACAATATAGTCCAACACATGACAAACTAAAAAAATTGCAATGTTGTGAAATAAACGCTTAAGGTTAGTTGCCCAATATGGTTATTAATGCTTATTATTTTATAATTAACTTTGTATGTTCCCAGGGTTTTATTCGCATGGAAGAAATGATAAGATAAGATAATTGTTTGCAGATTTTAAAAAATAAGTTCGGTTTTAAAGCACTTTTCTATATAACATATAGAATATGTAATTCTATAACGATTAATGAATATCTCATATTCTGTAACGATATTCTGTATTATGGTTTTCTTCCATATTTAAAAAATCTAAAAGCTTATGAACCTAAGCTTTAAAAAAATTTTAAAAAAGAGCTGAACTTGTTTAGAGGGGATAAAATTGTTTAGAATAGAATAAACTGAACTTGTTTAGAGAGGAATAAAGGTTTTAGAAGTTTTAAAGTTGTACTATTGAAAAACTTCAGAAGAATTTAATATGTCTACAATAAATAATTGAAGACAGTTTAAATGATTCAAAATTATGGAATTTTGATGCCAGCAAAGCCTTAAAAAAATAATTTGTTTATTAGGAGATAAATAGGTCATTATTATATTTAATATTTATTGTGCGGTACAATGAGGCTCAGGAAATGATAATTCCCACAACATCATTAGTCTATCATTATCTTATTATCTAATATTGTTCATAATTCCAACGTTATATAACTCATGAATTCGTGAGTTTAAATGTTAAATTTCTTCGTTCGAAATGAATAATTATTTAAATACTAAATACTAAATATGAATAAATAATCCTTAGTGAATAAATATTTATATAATTTATAAAGTGAGATTTCAGTCAATTATAATTATAATGATTTATAATTATTTAGATACATCGTTCAACAAATGTATTTAAACAGCTGTTACCAACAGGAAAAAAATAAATCAGAAAGCTCTAACTTTGGAATGATTGTTAATTTATTTCAATAACAAACTTTTTATTTTATTTATAAACTGTTTTAATTATACGCCTATTCATTTTTTTTTACTTAAAAGAAAGTTAAAGCTGCCAACAGAATGAGTGGATCTGAAAAATTTGGTATTGTAAAAATATTTTTTGAAGAGTTGAGATACTAAATTATAAAAATAGAACCATCACACGGTGTAAATTAAATTTAATTGTGTATTGAAAAGTGTTGAGCTAATCTAGTAATTAATAGTAAAAAAAATTACTTAAATAAATGTACTATTTCGATTATATGATATGGTTTTCATCTACGACTAACCAACAAGTTATTTCTTAACCATTTGAATAGCAAAGTCCTATTTTTACTGATTAATTGAGGTAACCAAAATGTTATTCAATTGAATCCTTAAAACAATCCTCTATTAATTTATGATAAAAGCTACGTTCTGCCATTATTCGTATTCAATATTTCAAGTACTTTAATGAAATATTTCATTTATTTTTAATTTTTCTATCATTATATGTTTTAAATAGCAT